CAGTGAGAGCATGTTTGTTTATGAATTTTTTTGAGTTTGTTTGGATTTTTTGGTTTAGTTTGGTTAAATTTGAAAAGGTGGTATGCTTAGTTGTTAGTGGATTTATTAAAATAATATTTAAAATAAAATGATTAAAATTAAATTGATGTAAAAGTAGGAGAGAAAAAATGTGATGTGATGGTTAGTTAAAATTATGTGAGTAGATGAATAGTGAATTAAGGTTGATGTGGTATGTATGAATGATTGATTGATATTATTTAATTATATTGATAATATTGATGATAGTGGTGTTGAGTTAAAGTTGAATTAAAAAAAATGATTGAGTTAAAGTATTGGAAATTTTTTGAAAATTTTTATAAACAAACATGGTCTGAGTACCCCACCAAAAGTCAGTTTTTATGAGCCTTTGCAAAGGATGATACATTGGCCGCCAGTGAACCCCACCAAAAGTCAGTTTTTATGAGCTTTTGCAAAGGATGATACATCGGCCGCCTTATTTGATAATAACTAATACGTAGCCCGTACGGGACAAAAGTATTAAATGAGTCATTTTCACAGAGTTTGTCCGTTAAGTAGCTCGTGCGATTCACAGGAAATATTAAATAAGTGGACCATAGGAGTTGTCCGTTCAGGCCTAAAAAATAATAGAGTTTGATCATCTATTTTTTTTTTTTACCTTTTTTCATCGTCATTTTTTGTGTCGGGACTTTAAACCTGAGTCTGGTAGCGCTAGCCCGTAAATTAATGTATTATCTCACTCACATTTTTATAATAATACAAATTTGATTTCAATATATATATTTATTCCTTAATATAAGAAAAATAACAATTTTACGTAATCTTGTTCCTCGTATAATACTCATATTATTTTATTATAAAATTTATTGTAATATTATGTCATTATTATTATTTATGCAAGTTATAGATGTATTCTTCTTCTTCTTTTTGTTTTATTTAATTAAAATATTTAATGTATGTTAATATTATTTATTAAAGTTATTAATTTAAATTATGTAAATAAATTTAAAGTAAAACATTTTGTACAAACATTTTACAAAATATATACAAATGTTTTTATAGAATTTAATTTTCTTATAATAAATAAACATCTTTGAAATTCTATGCGATTATTAAAAATCCATGATATAAATTCGAAATCATACTTGAATTATATGCAATTATTAATTTTGTCTGATGTTATTGGAAGCAAATTTCATAAATGTAACAAAATCATAAGGAATTTTAAAATTTAAATTTTAAATGAGACATATTTTTACTTAAATTCTATGTAATTATTATTTTGTCCGATTTTATTGCAAAAAATTCATTTCATATTTTAATGTAACGAAATGATAAGATTTTAATTTTCAAATTTAAATTTGAAATGACACGTGTTATTACTTGAAATCTATTTGCCCGATTTTATTGCAAAACACATCAATTAAGGATGGAATTAATGCATGCCTGTTTTTTAATTATAAAATAATAATACAATTAAAAAAATAATAGAAATAGAATGCATTAATTACCTTTGACTTTTCTTCTTACTAATTTTAGTAAATGAGATGACTTTTTATGTAAGTATAGATATCTGAATTACTAAATACTGTCCGCTTATTACTACTTACCGCCCATCATTACTACTTACCGCCTTATTTGATAATATTATCAAAATTATAAGTTATGCTAGGAAACCAACAGTTGACTGCTTAGTGGAATCAACTTTCCATATATAACAAATAAACCTATCATATTAATGAAATTATATTAGAGTTATTTAAATAATCAGATTATATGGTAGGTTTACTTGTTGTATATAGAAGGTTGACTCCACTATACAACCAATTGTTGCCTTCATAGAAAAACCGTCAAAATTATTATGTGAAGAATATCTTAAACTTTGATTTGATTCTTAATTAGCAAGACTAATCACAAGAAATTAAAGTTTAAATTAGTTCTCAATTATCACTGAATATTGTCATAAACTATAGTACTTTAATTATACACTAGTAAGTAAATTAATGCTTGCTTACCTCACTGTATTTGACACAAATCTTGTTTAGTGATTGGCTGGTTAAGCACGTTTTGAAGACACTGTGAAATAATTAATAAAAGTAGAGTATTATTAATTAGGCCATAATTTCTCAAATCAATCCACACATCTCAATTAATTCTCCCTCTTAACTGGATTTTTGTCTCCAGATTTAAATTTAAATTAAGCCATTTTCATGTGGAAAAATTTGTTTTAATGGGCCCAAATGTTAGGGGGTCAAGACTCAAGAGGATGGTATTGTTATATTTTTCGTATATAAAATTATTTTTAACCATTAGATAATTATACTTTAATAAAAACATATGCAATTTTATATTCAAAGATTATACTTTGATGTCTAATGTAAGCGAAGTATGATATTTTTGATAAATAAATAAATATGCATTTCTTATTATAAGAAAAGTATATATGGCAGCATAAAGGTTGGATATATAGTATAACAACAATAATTACAATATTTAATTACGTTATAGAATGTTGTATGTACATTTATTTATCTTATATTTTATATTATGATATTTTAATATGAAAGTGAAAATCATGATCATCTGACCGTTAAACTCGTCTAACACATCTATCACTACAACTATATATAGTCTATATTAATTAGAAAACTTTGTATAAGAAGTCAAATATAAGAGTGGCCTTTTAATTTTTCATAGAATGAATAAAAAGCTAAAAGAGATCCGAATGCAATTTTTTCTTTTTTTTTGAAATAAACGGAACTCAAATTTAATTTCCGGACAAAATGATACAATCTATTACTTTATGCTATGTTACTTTTAGTTTACCCTCTATGAAATTAATTAGATTATTTATAGTAAAATGTATACAAATAATTATCCAACCTTCTTTATCGTGTTTACAGCGTTGAACTACTGAAATGAATATTTATTGTCGTAAGTGTCTTATAACTTTTGTTTTCACTAAATAAAATATCATGCTTAGTACCCAAAAAATAAGAAATAAAAAAAATGAACAACATATAACAAATCGCCCTGTTCAATTATTATTTATCTATGCAAAGCCATTTTATTTATTTTTTCAAAACAATGCATATCTATATATTATAATTACTAGCCAAAAACATTTAATAAAACCTCAATTTTTTTCCCTCTAAAAGACGTTACTTTGCATTAATTAAGCATTTATATTTTTCATTTATTTTATTATATAACAACTAATGCTAACAATCATAAAATCACATTAAATGGTATTAAATTTATTTTTTTCAAACAATTTTTTTTTTTTTTGTTTAACTCATCAAGCAAATTTTTTATTAAGATTAGTTATTTAATTCATATGATATAACAAAAAAATTTAAGATTTCGTATACATTTGCTATAATAATAATAATAATAATAATAATAATAATAATAATAATAATAATAATAATAATAATAATTTCAGTATTGTTTTATCAAATCAGTTGTTCATAATAAAAAAATATTGCAAAAATTATATAACTACAACCGATATAAAGGTTAATATGTAAGTTATAGTTTATCATTCATTTTTATTAATAATAAAATTAATAAAATGTGATGTGCTATTATCTAACTTATAATTTTAAATATTACATAAACATATATATAACATATTAATTTTATTTGCATCTGTGCATGTGCACAGTATCAAATGCTAGTGTGAATCTTAAACTTAAGCTCGTTAATTTATTGTGCAAAGATTCCTTATGCACATGTGAATCTTAAACTTCCTATGTTCTTTCTTTTAATATATAGTTGAAAGAATATACTAAAAATTAAAGGCTTTAAATTATAATATATTGGCAATGCATGTGTATTGATTGTTATGCTTTATACAAACAATGCATAATGTGAAATGATATTTTTTTTTATATTTTATTTTAAATGTAATGTCTTAATTATTTAGACTGGTCTAACACCAGGCCAACTCTATTATTATATTTTTTAAGTATTGTAATTTGTTTTTAATCTATAGTTGACTTTTTTTTTTTAATTTATGTTCAATAAATTGTTGCATTTGCAAGAGGTATATTCATTCATAATTTTATTTTTAAAAAAGAATAATTAAAGTGTATTCATTCAAAATTTTTAGAACATTTTTGAATTACAAGTAGCATTTATTTCATTTTTTTTTTCAATTATGTGTGCCTTCTAATATGTAAACTTTTTTGACCACATGGAGACTAGAGGATATTTGAAATGATTTATAAAAAATATATATATATATATATATATAGTATTATTATTATGTTATGAATATAACATAAAAAAAAGGAGTATAATTTGAAAAAGATGCTCAGGTAGACATGACACGGGTCATCCAGCCTGCCGACCCGGCCCGGTCAAACATGTTGACCACGGGTCTAGGCCCGACTCAGATTTCATAAGGGCCAATCCCGGGTCGAGATTTTTTCGACCCCGACCCGCCAGGCCGGGCCGGGTTCTGTCCGGGTCAGGGCCGACACGACAAAAATGTATAGTTTTTAAATTTTTCTTTTTTTTTTCTTTTTTTTTTTTATTAGGACGGGTCAATACCCGGGGTCGGGCCCGGCACAGACCTAAGTCGTGCCGGTTCAGGGTCCGTCATACCCAACCCTTCGGCCCGGCGGGCTGGGCCAGGTCGTGTCCAGGCGACCCGGCCCGAATTTTGGCCATGTCTACTCTTAAAGCCAAAATTGAAATTTGGTGCAGTATATATTATTTACAGAATTAAGAAAAATTGTACCAAAAAAAAAAAAGAAATAAGAAAATTACACTCTTTGAAAATTTCCTATTAGTCCTTTATTTAATATTATTCCGCGGTCCATTTGTATTTGTGAGACCATCAATCAAAACTTAATCCAAAAAGCTGATACATATATAAAATTCAAAAAGAAACACCACAGCACACACCACCACAACTTTTCTCACACATATTCCTCTGTTTCATTACTTCAGTTCCTCGGCGAGCATATTTTCCGATGGCGGCGGCGCCACCTCAGAAACGCCTAGACCGGCGGCGTTGGCCGCCGCTGACGGTGGTCTTGTGTCTTGTCCTCGCCTTTGGCCAGCTCATAAGCACCGTCGGAGCCCAAAATCAAACAGCTAACGCCACCACCGATCCAATAGAAGGTGCGCCCTTCTCTTTAATTACTTGTTATTTCTTATGTGTTCATTTATTTTGTCCCCTTTTTAGAGATTTTTTTTTTTATTTTATTGTTGTTGAAAATCAGTAGTCGGTTTAATTTTGAGTTTTGGAGTTTTCATATTCAATTAGTTTTATTTGATGAATTATAGATTTTTTTTTTTTTGGGACATTATTAAAAGGTATAATGTCAAATTGTCCAATTTGATTATAATTAGGTAGGTGAACTAATTTTGAATTTGCTGTTCTTTTCTTTAATTAATAATGAATATTTAAATAACATCAAATATATCACTATTTATATTTAAAATTTAACCATCCTATATCATAGAAAATTTCTAATTCAAATCACATAATGAACTGATCATAGATCAATTCATAGATTCTATCATTTTTAATTAATACCAATATAATAATTTAATTTCTACTTAAATATAATTACTCATTTATTTATATGAGTAATATAAATACCAAATCGAAACTCAGTCTTTAATTTAATATATTCATAAAAGATGATTAGTTTAATATATTATGTACGAAAAATTGTTCATACATACAAACAAAAATATCAAAATTTTAAATATATGTAAATTGAGTTTGTCAAATGTCTATAATTTCAAAAAATACTTATAAATATGAATATAAGCTACTCTAAACACCCTAAGTTCATTAGTAAAAGTGCACTTGGTTGATGGTGGAGAGGTAAAGTATTGCTGAAGCCAAAGGTCGGGTGTTCGATCCTAACTGCCGTGAGAGTTGGGGATGGGGCTCTCCAATTCTCCTAAGTGGATTAGTCCTACCTCTCTTGAAATTGCGTGGTGAGACTCTGGATGAATGTGGAGATATCACCTAGTCCAAAAAATAAAAAACTACAAAAAGCAACAAAGCATTATTTAGAATCAATTGTCATGACAATTGACAATTATTAACAAATTGAATAAAATAAAATGGCAGGTGTGACATTTGGTTCAATCGTCTTTTGACAAGACTCTCTTACCAGTTGTATTTTTTTATAAAAGCTAAAAGTGAATACATTATTGGAAAATGCTATAATCCTATTACGGAACATTCGTCGGCATTTGTAACAGTTAGATCATCATCTAATCGTCGGGAATATTTGATCTAACGGTTACAAATCACGACGGAATGGATCCGTAACGGGACCGTAGAATCTCATTTATTATTATATTGTTCAATGTCAATAGTAGATCGGGTAAAAGTTGCTTTCCAGAACAGGTAGAAAAAAAATACATTTGTTTTGCTTTCATAGAAAAAAAAAAAATAAAAAAATAATCATTTTTGTCTTTATTTAAAAATTTGCCCGAATACCTTACCCGTTGATTATGATCAATCAATAGCGGATTCAAAATGTTCATGTAATTGTTTTACGGGCAATGCTATATGTACACCCCCTTTTAATAAATTACACAAAGAAAAGTGCTATATGTACACCCCTTTTTTACACTTGAGGGGGTGTACATATAGACACCCCCTTGTTTTACACATTAAAAAAAATAGTACATTAATAAATAATTTATTTAATTAAGTTTTGAAATATTATGCCTAATCAAATGTTAAACGTTAAGGTATTATTAAAAAAAATGATTAAATTAATATATAAAAGCGTCAAAACTCAAAGTGATTATGCTAACTATTTTCCAAACATAACATTTACCTGAATTTTGTCATTTTTTCATTTTATTTTTTATTTTTATTTTTTATTTGATAAAGGCTTAATTAGTAACAGCATATATATTCTACTGCTCTAATTATATTCTTGATTATAATATAAACAGCAACAATTTTGAACACGATTTTCGATCGATGGGGGATTTCGGCTTCAAATGATTGGAACATTAGCGGCGAATTGTGTAGCGGTATA